TTTATAATATGAAATTTCTTCTTGCCATATGCTGGATCGTTGGTTGACGATGACAGTGATATGATTGCGGCTGTGTGTGTTGTGCATCCTGAGGAAAGTGTGCGTCTGAATTCTATAGTCGCATTTTGGTTGTCGATTAGATAGGAATCGAGCGTGTTGTGACAGGATATTTTGGACGATCAGTATCAGTGTGGTTTGGGTAGTTACCAGCACGTTAACTTTTTTGAATGTGTGTGAGTCTCGACTACCGATGGTGATATTGCAAGTCAGTTCGCCAAGGGCGGTGGCGCTGCCGTTGATTCCTTTTACTACGACGTCGGAGCGGGTCATGTGTTTCTTGGCTTCTCTGGGTAACTGAGATATTGGTACGATGCAGGTGGAGCATCCAGAGTCTAGCATTGCGACGCCAGAGAAGGTGATGTCCCTGTAGTTGAAGGTGGACTGGACGAGCGGTAAATGGTGAGCGAGTCCTTGAAAGTTGAATGTGTGATGGCTGACGTAGGGGCACGGCGAACGAGGCATCACATCTCGTCCTGCCCGAAGGGAAAATCCTGTTCCACATCATTTATGGCTTGTATATTATCATTCTTGCGGCGATATGGGCCTGTGCCCGAGTGCGAGGTATGTGGCGATATAGGCAGTTGCGTCCATGGAGGCAGGGGCGACCTCTGAGGTAGTTCTTGCACACGCTGATTCGTGGTGTGTGCTGATGGTTTTTGCGTATCGGATGGTGGCCATGTTCGGGAGGTTTGGTGAGGCCCGTCTGCTGTGGGTTTGGTTGTCTGCTGGGTCGGAGTGCACGTTTCTTTGGTTTGACCGCTGTGGTTTCTGTGTGAAATACACAGTGTCGTGCGAAGTCGTGTCGTTGGATTTTACACCGCGATCAAGGTATCTTTGAGCTTCGGAGGCTATGCCAATGGCTGAATAGTGGTTGTCCATTGTCTTGACGAGATGTGGGTAAAGATTTGAGTTCACAATTTTCACCTTTTCGCTCATTAGCATAGCGCCGATGATGGAAATAAGTCCATCGACTGTTAAGTCTGTATTTTTGTCTTTTTTGTATTTGTTTTTTATGTGGACGGCTGCCTCTCTAAGGGTGTTTTCGAGTCGACTCGCGAAGTCTGTTAATTTTTCGTTCCAGATCCCAGGCTTGACTGAGGTGTTGGAAGTTAGTCATCTGGCTTCCGTGGGTTGCTAATAAGTATTCCTTCAGTTGTTCGAATGTGGATATGTCTTTTTTTTTTTTTTGAGTCAACCATTTGCTGAAAGATACTTTGGTCCAGTAAGTCTTTAGCAGACTTGACGAATTCGCATTCCAGGCAGGGATAGGTGCTGAGTTCTAGCGTGACGTGGATTTGTTTAGAGCCGTGATGAATCGATTCACGTCGTGTCCAGGGTGAAAAGTTCTCCCTAGCTTCAATATGTCGCGTATAGTTTGTTGGCGCATCATTAAGCTGTAATCGCCGTTTGTTTGAGCGGTGGAAGGCGTTAAAATAGTTGATTTTAGGGCAGTCAGCATGTCGTTTATGTCGGCTTGAATTTCTTGTATCGTGGCTTCGGAAGGCTGTGTTGGTCCCGTTTTCAAGTCGAATAGTAGCGTTTTCTGTTCCTTGATGAGAGTAAAGAGTTCGGCTCGGGTGAAGCTCGTGTAGTCATCGATATTTCTCTTGCTGTACGCTTCTGACACCAGTGTTATAGACAAGCGTATGCTTGCAAGAAGGAAATACAACAGTAGAAATAGATTTACGTGATTTATTTCAATAGGAACGTGTGGGTTTGGGACAGCTACCTTGTGGTAAAGTTCATAAGCCGGCTCCCGGTTTGGGTTGATCTCTCATAGGAGTTGACACTGGTTGGCGTGACGCTCCTCCTGCTGACTGCTGCTGACTGACCGTGACAGGTCTCTATCCTGGCCTCCTGTTGACTGCTGTTGTATTTCCCCGTGTGACCCCTTTTATGGCGTTTTTTATGGCTTAACAGGCTCGTAAAACGACGCGAGTATAATTAGGAGGGAAGCATTTTTGTTGGTCGAAAAATAGAAACACTTTAAAATATTATTTTATTTTTCGACCGGAACTCGTGCGTCGGGGCTATGCGTAAACCACGATAATGGTCATTTTGTGACGGGGCCTTGTCCCGTTCACATCCGACTCTCGCTCTTAAGTATGTTAGTTTATTTGCCTGCAAATAAGCCGAGATGTGTCTTATTTTATTTTATAACAAGGGCAAAACTTACGTACGCCGTAGAACAGGTGAAAGACTGTCTTGTCAATGTGTCAAGAAAACCGTTATGTCTGGTGGCGGCAGTGTGATGGTGTGGGGAATGATTTCATCTGCAGGAGTTGGCCCTATCATCCGCGTACATGGCAATATCAACGCTGAGATTTACAAAAGGCTTCTTCAGCAGCATGTGGCACCAAGATTAATCTTTATGAATCTCCTATTTTCATGCAGGACAATGCATCTTGCCACAAGGCTCAGAACGTTATGGCTTTATTTG